GAGCTCCGGATGTTAAATTTACATCTGTTCAAGCCAGTTCCATCTGACGTTTGAAGGCAACGCCCTCTTTCACTCAAATGATGAAGTTTGGCCACGCAAACAGTCATTACATCACATGTCATTAACTGAATTTATGAAAAAAAAGTGTTGTCAAGATTCTTCAGGTGTTGACTTTTTTTCTCTCTTTCTCTCTCTCTCTCTCTCTCTCTCTCTCTCTCTTCCCCTTTGTCATTTCTTTCTCCTCTTGCCCCCATGAAGCTTTCTCTCAAACTGGTAAGCATGGTCGTATAACCACACCACCGTAGCGGCATGATCATAGTTCGCATGTCACTTCTTCCCAGTAACACATTGCTAATAACATTGTGTATGCTCTTGTGGTTTCTGTGCATTGTTAATTGTTTTGGGTATTTTAAAAAACAATAATTTATCTGTTGCTGTAACACAAAGATGGAGCCCAGACTGATGCCACTGTCTCACCTCATATGTTATTTTGCTGTTTGTGTTTGTGCGTTTTTGTGTGTGTTTTGTGTGTGTGTGGTTATGTTCTCGTCTCTCCCACACTGTGTCTGTGATCTCTGTGGCGAAGATCACACTCAATTCCCACATCTGGAATCTCATTGAGGTGATCACATTTATGCTGTGTGTTTTTTCTTTTTTAGCGTCCGTCTTGTAGCCCGTCTGGTCGTCCCTACTGTCCAGTTTTTGTGTAACTAATACTAATCTGATCCTGGAGAGCAGTCTCTCACATTGCATTGCATGCCAATCTGCTTATAAGGTATTCTTTAAAACCGAGCTCACAAAAAGTACAAAAGTTAATCTCTTAAATTAGTTTATGGAATTAATAAAGTTGATTAATCTTGATTTATCGTAATGAATCCTTTGGTTGATGATGGATTATTTACTATCAATTCTAATTGTGATTAGTAATGATTAATCACAAATAGTTGTGATTAATCACAGTTAATCCCAATTAATCCACAGCTACCCTGTGGATAATCAGATTTATCTTTATCGATTCACAGCCCTAGTTCAATGGTATCAAAATATAATTAGCCAATCAGTTCATTGATCATTTGTTACCGGTCAGATTATTAACTGTGTTAAATCGCAGATTTGTGTCCGAACCAATTTATTTAAAGACTTTGATGGGACACGGATTGACCCAACATTAGGTTTTATGAAATGCATTTTCTTTTTGACTTTTCTAAAGGACATTTGGTGCAAAAAACTGAAAATGAATCATACTTTAAACGTCAGATTATTTATTGTCTCTGCTGTTTTCACATAGTGCTGAATAACAAAGTAGAAAAGACTATTTTTCTTAGTTTTGTCGTAGGGTAAAAAAATACGAACACTAACTGTCACTAAGAGGAGCATGAGCATGTCAGTGCATGATGACACTCACATCTGTGTTACACTGCATGACTGGTAAGTGTCGGATGGTGGTACAGAGAGAGGGAGGGGGGTGGGGTGGGGTATTAGGTGCTGTGTGCAGTGAATCCTGCACCTCGGTCTATAGTTGTAGTATTTGTTTTATCCTGTGGTGGCGCTGTGGCCCATCTCAATGAGATCCAATCAAAGGCTTTCATCTATTCAGTCCAGACAGAGATATCTTCTACTTTGTTTCCAACAGAAGAAATGCTAATAGTAACATACAGACACTGACAAAAATACTTGAAATTGAAAACTACTTGAAACAAAGACAGACAGAAACTCAGATGAACTTAGAGACTGACTCGCTTTCAGGATTTGAGGACTAACATCAACAGGCCAGTGAAAGAAGTATCAGCGCCATCTATCTCACCAGTCATGTCTTTTTGTTTGTTGTTTTTTTACCATTCAAATACTTATGGAAAGTTCTAAATACTTGAAATAAAAAATGAAATTAGACTATGTGAAGACTATGTATTCAATGTGATACAATGCGATACACAATACAATATGAAAAAGTCCATATACTACATGTTGATTCATTTGAATGAGCTCTTAACATTTTTAAAAGGGTCATAAAATGATGAAAACGTTCAAACCTTACACAGCAGCTACAGTTGTTGTGTACAGAAACACAGTGGATTTTCTGAGGAGAATGACTCACCAGTTCAGTTTTTTACAGCCTGGAAACCTTCTCATCTGGAAATATGACCCATCAGGCTTAAAAAAAACAACAACCCTAACACTAACCAAGGCTTCACGTTTCAGAACATACACTGACAGTCAGCCATTCAGACACTTTTGGTGGTTCATACTAAGTGAGCAGTAATAATCTGTAGCCAATACAATGGGACGTATTGAATTCCAGATGCCTCTGCAGCCAGGAAGTGTTGTAGATTTGTATTGTGTATATGTTGACTGAATAGGTGAAAGGCCTGGAGCCTGTGGACAGACAGTGTTTACAGCCAGTGTTTGTTAAGAAGCAGCTGCAGTATCTCCCTCAATTTGAATCATTTGATTTAGAACAGAACCATGGCAGCATTTGTCCAGCTGATGATTATTTATCTCTGAGTCCTGGTTCACTGGGTTCACAGCAAAGATGCGATACGAGTCCTGGTTCACTGGGTTCACAGCAAATGGAGATACAGCACCTAATCAGATTAGGTCAGAACAGATTAACAACATTTACAAACTGGTGTTCCTTCTCTAACAGGTATTTTTTTTCCACTTCTCTCTCTTTCCATTTTTGGTCGTCTTCCCTGTCTGTTGCTCTTTCTTTCCTTGTTTGTTCTGCTCAGGGTTCTGGACCAGAGGACTTCAGCCACCTTCCACCCGAGCAGAGGAGGAAGAAGCTCCAGGGCAAGATAGACGAGTTGAATAAAGATATACAGAAGGAAATGGACCAGAGGTATTCTGATGAAAGTTACCGCTCCCCCAGAACCCCAAAAGTGCCGGGCTGTTAACTGACCATATATTTGTTTCAATAGGGACGCTCTAACTAAGATGAAAGACGTGTACGTGAAGAACCCTCAGATGGGAGACCCCGCCAGCGTTGATCCCCGGCTATCAGAAATAGGCCAGACCATCGAAAAACTCCAGTTTGAAGTGCAGAAATTTGAGGTTTGTTCAAAGCCTCATTGTTAGTGTTGGAAAAGTTTTCTTGTTTAGGTTATCTCAGACACACTGTGATGGAGTTCAAACACACGCCTCCAACTGCTTACAGTTCCAGTAAAGACTGCTGCTCCTCCATATTAGGAGAAGAAGCGGTGCAGCTGGAGGCACCGACTGAAAACCTGAAAAAAGTCCCGACGTCCGTGTCTGGCTGTGGAAGTGGAAACGCTGTCCACTATGTCTGAAGTGTGTCTGAAGTGTTTGAAGGAGTTCAGTATTCAAAGAAAACTAAAGTGTATGACTTAAAAACTCAATTGCTTAATTGTAAAAAAAAATAGTTGTGAGCAACAGAGTTATCTGTCAAGAGAAAAAGCTGAAGTTGAACCTTTAAATTGTTACCATGGCAACCACATTTGAGGACACCTGGAATATTTTGGTCTTTTTTTTAGGCTGCTTCACCCACACTGTTAAGATTGAGTTGCCTCTTGGTAACCTGCGATTGTCGTCTTTTTTCTGCAACTGCAGAATGAGTTGTATTGGGTTTTATAGGATTGGACACAAAAAGTTCAGCTTTGGTCAGTTAATAAAGATGCTTATATAGGGCATTTTTTAGAGCAGAGTTGTATATTAACAAGGCCACGAAAATTGCTTCATCTATTCTTTTGTTTCATCCTCGATTACTGCGACACAAAGGCATCTGTTCTGATGTTTACGCCTCCGATGAAACTCCCCAAGTGTTACCTTTACACTGATGCCAAGATTATTCTCACAGTTTGTTACTGCTGGTAAATAATCATTTCATTTGCAGATCATTTTCTGAGCGCACACCTCAGTATGACACAGAGTTAACAGGTTTCCACTGCTGTTGTTGAAAAGATTAAACACAAGACTCAGTTAGTGAATACAGTTATTTTAGGAGGGAAGGTTTGAATGAGGTCATTGTTCTGGCTGCAAAACCTTTAGATGAACAAAACTCTCTGTCTGCGTTGGTGCATAACAGTGGAAGAGTGTGGAGTTGAATTTTCATCTCAGTATAAATACATCAGATCCTGTATTCTTTCAACCATAGGTAGTGATGTATTCAACAGTATTTCTAGATAAAGCAGCAGTGATTGATCCCATTGAATGTTGACGGTGGTTCATTTAGTCCTTAGAAGTGACCTGTTTATCTTTTTTGATCTTGTGGTAGGGATGGTTAGCGGAGGTGGAGGAGAGGATGCCGTCCAAGAGCGATTCACACAGAAGAAGTGGTCTCTTTGAGACCCAGAACAACACAGCAGTGAGCAACAACTGTGCACAGGACAGAGAGAGGTATGGTATACTGTGGTGAACAGCACAGCTCTCCAACAGGAAACAGTCTTTTCACAGTCTATTTACTGTGTGTGTGTGTGTGTGTGCGTTGGCCTTTGAGCAGCCCAGACGGCAGCTACACTGAAGAGCAGAACTCAGAGACTCAGGTCAAAGTCAACACCCACCCAGTGCCCACCTCCAGCACGCCCGAATTTGATGATGAGTTCGATGACGAGGAAACGCTGCCGACCATCGGCACATGTAAAGCCTTGTACCCGTTTGAAGGTAATGTCATCTGGCCAGAGTGTTGATGAAGATGATGATCCTACAGTAGATGTATTAAGTTGGTCCCTACACTGCCCTCTAGAGGTCACTTGTGTCTCAGCGGCATCTGAACAGCTACAAATATTTTGTCAGATGTTGAGCCATGTTATATTCTGTTTGATGATGTTGTAAAACCGTCGACCTTTATATCTTGTTACAAGTCTTCTAAGTTAAAAGGGAGAAGTAAAATCAAAGACATTTTGAGTAGTGCTGTACGCACAAGTATTTTTAATTCTCTTTGACGGCAAAGGATTAAAATATTATTTTTATTTTGCAAAATCATACATTAGGGTTTCTAATAAAATTGAATTTTTTTATATCAAATAAAATTCAGCAATTTGAAAAAAACAACAAATTCTGTTATTGTCATTTTTAAAGGTCACAATGAGGGCACCATCTCGGTGACTGAGGGCGAGCTGTTGTTCGTCATAGAAGAAGACAAAGGGGACGGTTGGACACGAGTGCGCAGGAACGAGGACGAGGAGGGATACGTCCCTACATCCTACGTGGAGGTCTTTTTGGAAACTAATGCCAAAGGTGCTATGACATACATATAACACCACATGATGCTACATGTTGATATCATGTGTCTGGCTTTTCATTTATAGAATTTGAAGATGATAAGAATGTAAATATCCTCCTTACACCCCCTCCCGCCCCCTCACACACACACAAACATACACACACTCAGTCCCAGAGGAGAGGACCAATCATGACAGCAGAGACCACTGTAGATGAGGTATCAACAAAATACCATTTGTCACTTTGGAGTCTGGAGGAACTTCTTCACAGAGAGACCTGTGATTACTCACATTTTTAGCCACAACAGTGCCATCAAGTGGAGGATATAAATACGACAGCATCAGTCAAAGCTCAGCACAGTTCGACCATTCACTCACTGACAGTGATCCTGGCTGAATGTCGAACACTGGCTGTGATTTTTGTATAATACTTGTTTATATGTAAAAACAAATATGTCAGATTACCTTGTTGTACTTTGACTCCGCTCAGTGATTGTATTCACAATTCTGCAGTGAAAACTCCACGTCCAGTGTAAGTTGAATCAACGTGCTATTTATGGCTTTTCAATCATTTGTACTGCGGAGTCGACGCATGCTTAGTGTGCAATCATACGTTTGCATTTTAAATCAGCTGTAAAGTAGTAGAACGGATATTTTTATAGGGTTTAGAGTGGGAACAGATACTATGGTTACAGTATTACTGCATGCTTTACACTGGTACTACCCGTGGTAGAGTAACCTGTAGTCAAATGAACATGTTTTTTTCATTTGTGAATGTCCTTGTAATGACGTGAGTGTTGGACTGTTCTGGTCCTTTCCCTCCAGGCGAGTGGTAAAGACTTAGAGGACAGAGAGGAAGCTGGGCGAAGCTTCACGGTGAGACTGGGTGAAGCTGCACAGCTGGTCAGAGTCACTAAAATGTGGGGTTTCATTGCATGGGTACCTGAGCAGCACCTCTGTGAATTTGTTGCAACAGCATGGTGTGTACAACCTCTGACCTCTACCAGGTCAGACTGTGGCGCATCGAGTGCTCAGTGTCAGTAATTTCTTGAATCAGTCAGTAAACAGATGTTTGATTAATACGTTAGTCTTGACACAGCATGAGGTTTCTCATTCTGCACCCTTCCATTATATGATTGAATGATTCTTTTTTGGAATGTAGTGAATGATCTGGGGCCTTTGATTGGGTGTTTTATGATGACATGACTTCAGCATGTTGTGACCAGACAGACCTGTCACTTAAAATAGAACAAAACTTTCTCATCGATAATGTCAACCACACTGCCTTCACACTAGAGCTGGTAGATATGGACCAACATAAGACCAAAGCAGAAACTCTATTTACCAAAACTGTGAATTAAAGTGCAGCTTGTTGGAACCCATTGTTACTAATTAACACAAACGGGCCTTTTAATCCCTGTGATTTGCTTTCAGATTCAAACTTTACATAAAAAGCTCTACCGCTCTACCACTTCCTATTTTCATTTCATGTAAAATTAACTTAGTCGGAGTTAGTATCTTTCCATATCTGCCTACTAGCGCAGCTCATGCTGGACAGCTGTCACGTTCAACCAAAAGCCAAGCGCAGCTGCACGAGCTTTACTATGTAAACACACGAGGCAGTTGAAGTGGGTTTTCATCTGGGGGAGACAGTCAGTGAAGTCGTATTACTTTACAGTAGTCATCAAAGTAACGTCCAAGTAACAAACTTAACTACTGATCACTGCCAAACATCCAGGCTCTTTTTTCTTCTTGAGCTTTTTTTTCTGTTTGAGTCTGGCCAAAAATGTATCAGGTTCGCATTTTGTTGCCCGTGTCCTAACAGTTTACCATACCCGCCAGAAAAGCATACAGACAAAAAAAAGGACCCGACATTCAGAATCAACCAATGCTCTCTCACTGCTCAACTGTTGCCATAGTTACATGGCCCTGTTCCCCCCACGGAGGGTGGGTGGAGCACACATTACCACTTAAGGATAAAGACACAGAAACAGGTGAATCAAGAATCAAGTCCTTCAGTTTTTGACCAAAGTAAGTCACCAATATTGCATTTAGATAGAACAGAAACAATTTAATTTGTGTAAAAGTAGCACAATACATGAGTGAACCTTCAGTTCCAGGTCTTTGGGTTTCTTTGACGTAGTCAGTGTGTTAATCAGTACTAAACAGTGTCATAACCTTAGGTTTTGTTCCTTCTTATTTCTATGTTTTGTATTGTTATTTTATTTTGTTCCTTCTTATTTCTATGTTTTGTATTATTTTATTTCTCCTCCGTTGTCTTCAAAGTGTCTAAAGTGTTTCTGACTCTGACTTTGACTGACTTTGTTTTGTCTGTATTTCCTTCAGATTCCTAAAAGTGTGAGGCTGGCTGAGGAATGGCAGGGCAAGCAGCACCAGAGCAACCACCACGTTCCTCAGTGTCAGAGAAAAGTCAAAAACCACCGAGTGTAAAAGAGAGAAATGGCTAAAAATAACAAAACAACACATCTCATTTTGTTCAAACCTTTACAATACCTTTTTTAAAAAAAACAAAAAAAATCTTTATCTGCAGTGTTGCGCTTTTTTTGCCGAACCTTTGCAGCATACGGCTGAGAGATAGGACTTCATCGAAATTAGAGCGCTCACATTTTTAACATTTTTGTCTTCATGTTGAGCAAACGCTTTGCTTCTTAATGTGACTAACTCCGCCTGCACCGCGCGCACTCTGTTGCCCTTCGCAATGTGAACGCTTCCCCTGGCCTTTGACCCGCTGCACGCACACACACAGACACGCCGCGGGGGTGTGGTCAGAGAGAGGCACGGAGACCAGCATCAGCCTCCTTCACCCAGTAGTGTCTGTGTGTGCGTGGGACTTCATTCATTTCACTCACTCATGGCCTTCGGTGAGAAATCATTCTGGATTCATTGATCTCAACAGGAGGCAGTGAAAATCTCATGTTCACCCTCCTGTCAGCTCCGTGTTTGCAGGCGTCACTCAGACAGAGATGAAGAAAAGAAGGTGCTAATCATCCATCTCTGTGTTATGTTCTCTTTTTTTTTATTCTGTGTGTGTAAGGGTGTGTGAATGTTCATTTTTATACTCTTTATTTAACAGTTTGTCTCTCGTCACATCCCAGTGTCTCCACACCACCATTTCTCCCACATTCCCAGGACCTGCAGGGGTGAGAGAAGAACGATGGGATCCATCAGTCTCACCCTCACCCATCACTGTCTGTCCTGTCCTTGGTGCCTGTCTGTCCTCTCTGACCACACCCCGACTCCCTCATCACCCCCCTCTGTTCTAAAACGACTCAGGCTGTCCCCTCTGGCTGCTTTAAGCCCTCTTCCCAACTCCTCACCCCTTTTGTCTCCTTCCCTACCTTTGTATTGCAACAGCTCAGGGGCGGGTGCCTCTCTGCGTGGTTGTGGCGTGCTGCATGCTTGCCCTGTCTTCCTCCTCAACCCCCTCTGCTGGCAGACTGGGAAAGGTGGTGGGGTCAGCTTCTGCCCTCCTCTGCCCCCTGCCTCCAGCCTTTCTGTTCAGTTAACCTTCATTGCTTGGTTTCTCTGTCCAGATTAACCTGAATGCTACTGTTTGGGTTCAGTGCCTGTGGTGTTTTATTGTTTTCTTTTCTGTCGTGGGATCAGAAAAGTGTGTTTTAGTAGTGAGTGAGTGATCATCTGGTTGATCTGTCAGTACAGAACGACAGGGCTTTGAAATATTATTTTACAGATGGTATGCGTCGGTAAATCATGGGAGTTAGTTTCACTGTAGGTCGACAGTGTGTAAAAATGTTAGTACTGTAAGTAAGTATGGATCAGATTGTTTACCGCAAGTTGTTCGCAGCAGTCCGACAAATAGAATCCATCATGTCATGAGGTTCCACCTGTGCTTGGACTAAGGCCCTTTTACTGTTTACTGTATATTAATAAATATACTGTGAGCCATTATTTTCTGTGAATTTCTGACTGAGGTCTGACAGAATCACCGGGTTCCTCTTGTTCTCACCGGCACAGACAATAATGATGACATGAGCTGTGATGATTCTGAGAACCTTCTGGAGAAAACGTAAGAGTTTTTATTCCCATGATCCTCCTCTGCTCTGCTCAAAGGCACATAACGTATTTTTATTTTAATATTTTAGTGTTTTCTTTTTCTTCTTTTGTTGATTTTAGGTCAAGTTTGCTTTTACTTTAGGCTGGACTTTTAGAAAAATACTTTACTGCGATTGGGTCATATTTGGTTTTTTAGTCCCTGCTGATTTGTTCAATGTGACGCCTGAGTGATGGCCGATGTGACAGTTTGGAAGAAACGATCAAACCCTTGCTGAAATAAGCAAGTCGCTTTTTGCCGCTCATCTAAAAATGTCAGGGCTCAAGCAGAGACCCTCTGTTTGTATTTTTTTTCTCGGTGATAAACGTCACCGTGAGTCACCACTTCAGCGGCAGCAGTAGTTTTATATTAGCCACATGCCTGACAGTGCTCTGCAGTGAAACTACCACAAACCTGAGAGTGGACCCTCAATAACCTGCCTGTACAGCGGAAGTGAATTAGAGAGAGTATATATATGAATAAAGATAAAAAGGAAAACATCTATTTTAAATATTCAGATTCTTACGCTGACTTTATCTGCTTGGCAAAGTAAGTTGTCTTTACCTTTATCTACCAAATGGTGTGTTATTGCACTTTTTTTTGTTTGTGTTCCATCTGGTAGGCCATACTTGCGTTTTGGAGCACTGAATACTTTGTATTGTGTTTACTGTGCCAATTAAATATGCCTGGAAAATAAAACAGTGATGATGGTGACTGTGATTTTTTTCCCTTTAAGTCTCTATTTGGAATAGCAATCTCAATGTCAATGTTTAATTAACTGAAGTTTAGGCCTTGGGTTATGCTTTCAAAATAAATCTGATCCTATTTGTTAAATGTAAACAAAGAAAAATTTAAACTGACAATTAAAATGTTGAATTGTTGTCGTTTCTAATTTGGGTTTAACCCTTTCATGCATGACGGTCACTACAGTGGACAGCTATTAAAATGTCATTTTCTATGATAAAGAATAGGTTTTGATGGCAGTGTTGCATATAAGCCTCTGCAGTGGACGCCTGAGAATCACCCAACACTGCCATACAGTGGTCAGCCTTTGCAACTGCAGAATAATTGTGTCAACATTCAAAAAGAAAATTTGGTGTATAAAAACAGAACCAAATCAGTTCTTATTTTTATGTCTAAAACACATAAAAACACTTTTTTAAACATTTTTTTTAACTCAGTATATCATGGGTCATGCATCAAAGGGTAAGGAATTTACCAATAATTCCAATTTGTTTAAAAAACACTGGTTAAAAATGAATAGTAAAAACAAAATCAACAAACACAATTGCCTTTAATGTTATTCTTAAAAGTGAGTCAAATGTGTTTGATCGATCATTCTTCAGCCGTCAGTGATGGCTTAGACAGGACTGCACTCTGGTACTCTATGTACCATGTGATCAACAATGTCACATGGTATGGTAGAAAAAAAACAATTATAATATAATAATACTCAATTGTAAATAAAAACAGTATTGACAAAAAGTCACAAAAATGTCAATTAATTGTTCAAATTGGAAGAGTGCAATCTAAATGAGATAAGATGCATTTTATTTTGAAAATATGGTTGACTATGTTCAATTAGTTTCCATATACAAATATATTAGTACATATCTGTGCATTTTGTGTAGATATGTATGTAAAATAACTCTACAGCTCAATCGCTAAGTCCTATTTCCGTGTTTCTATCGTCTGAATAATTGTATGTTAAGTATGTATATTCAAGTCATTTGGAGATTAAAGAACGTTATTTTGGGATTTTCCCACTTTGGCCAGTAGAGGGTAGTCACGTTCCATTACAAGCTGCTTGCAAGCCACAGCGACAAAGGCGTATCCACCATGACATTTTCCCCCTTTTCTTTTCGAGTTGAGTATTAAATAATACATTTTAAAATATATTATCGAGTGTCGTCATTTATCAAGACAAAAACCTCCACATGGGGCAAATAAATACCACCGCCAAACCTGCGAACGTTTACTTAACTTCCTGACTCTTCATTTCAAGCAGTGGGAACGTTTACTCTATCGACTCAGGATTTTACCCTCCACTGTTATCCCTACAGCCCACGTCTCCGTCCAGTCTAACAGTCTAACTGCCGAATTCGGTTTGTGACCATCAATCCAGCCCACAGATGGAGCAGGATTCGCCAAAGGTCTGTGGCCCACTGGGCTGCAGCTGTGCATCTCTCTCTCCCTCTCTCTGTCTCTCTCTGTCTCTCTCTCTCTCTCTGTCATGAGAACTAAACAGTGAAATGGTTGAGTTTCAGGAAGTGGCTAAAGCAGGGGTTGGCAAACCTTTTGGCTCAGTGGCCACAATGAGATTTAAAAATTTGAAAGGAAATTGATTTTGGTTTTAAACAAAGGCAGTGTTGTCTTTTGGGAAAAAAACAATCTAGAATAAATAAAGGATATGAAGAGAATTTTTTTTTAAACTTTCATACTAAGCCTCAAATTTTGGAATGTCAGAAGTAATTTCAGTGTGTGTTTGAGTCACCACAACAGCAGGTTTGTAGATTATATACATACTGTCTGAATTTAACCTAATTGTCCTTTGTTTATTTCTTATCTTTTATTGTCTGTAACTGTCTTTAGATAGTATTTTTTAACACAACCTTTTTGGCTGTAATGTGTTTCTAACTGTGGCTTGTGTTCCTCATTCTTGGCCAGGACGCCCTGAAAAAAAGTTCTGTGCTCTCAGTGGAACTTTCCTGGTTAAAGAATGGTTCAATAAAAAGGGAATGGAAAGTTTATTCATGTGTGTCTGTGTTCTACTGAGTGAATGATGTTAGCCAGGCTTTGTTGTTATTGTTTTGGCTTAGAGTGGAGCCAATCACAGCCTGTGCTAATCTTCTAAATCATCTGTAATTTTTTATTTTCTTCCCTTTTTGTGCTGGTCCACCCAACAAAGTCACCTTCTGCATCCCTTCCAAAACCTGAACTTGACACCCGACAATATGGTGAGCAGACAACCCACTGGACCAGCTAATCCACAGCAACGCTGTTTGATGTTAGACGTTTGATGTTAGCTACTAGAGGCAAACTGGAGACGTTCTGCTAACAATTAATGAATCTGGCGGCACATTAAAGCGCTTTAACACTACATAATCCAGGAATATTAAAGATTGCTAAAATCCTAATCACCAGGATTTCTGCTTCCTTTGCCTACAGCCGCTAACAGTGAAAGAGAAGAGAGAAAGCATCAGTTTGAGGTTAAAGGCTTCAGGCGATGTGAACATGCAGGTCACCATCTGTGCTGCTGTGGCCTGGAGAATAAAACTCACTCATTCTTAGACAATACTCTCACATGCTGTAGGCTAGCACTGTGCTACAAACATCAGGATGACACAGCAGCCCACAGGTGGGTGTTTGAGGAGAGATGGAGATGAATGGGTTCCATCTCACGTTGACATCAAGTGACCTCACTGTTGTAAAGACAAATAAAACTGCACCTGGATGGTGTGATTATAAGGAACTTCAAATATTAATGATGCTCATGTTTCAACGTTTACTTTAAATCATCAGGAGTCCAAACTCTCTGACCTGGGTTCAGGGTGTGAAGTGTTTTCTGGCTGGTCAGTACTGTGTGTTTTATCTGCTGCCTTCTGTCTGTTCCATTACTGCTGTGTTCCTGTCTTGGCCTGCAGTGAGAGCACCATGCCAGATGGAGGAAGCGCTCACCTCTGGAGACCAGCCCAGTCTGTGCCGTCAGTGTGGACGGATCTGAGCCGCTGTCTGTCTGTCTGTCTGTCTGTCGGTCTGTAAAACTCATCTTGTCTGTCGGTCTGTCTGTCTGTCTGTAAAACTCATCTTTTTTTTTACTGTATATCTGATGTGTACTTCTATAAGCAACTCATAATATCAGGGAAGTGAACTAACGTTCATAAACCTCAATGATTTGAACCTGTTAAAAATGATAAGCTAGTGTATCTGTACTTTAGCTTACCTAAAGCTACGTCTGGGCTGATGCTAAGCTATTGTTTCGAAATAAACGTTTGTCTATTTCCGGAACCTTTGATAAGTTTTTGCCACCTTTTAGTTATATATAGTTATAGACAGTTCCTGCTATTGTTTTAGCTTCAAGTGTTAATCTCATTTAAATATCCAGAATTTTAGGTTTCAATTTTGTTATTTTTTAATCTTTTGTTTTCTTTTTTGCCAGACGTTTACTTTCTTTGGCGTCTTTCGTGCCTCAATTAAACTGTAATAAATGTTGTAAAAATATTTACTTTTTATTATTTACTTTTAGCCCAGGCTTTTTTTTGTCGTTGTTGCTTTCCATTAGCTCGTTAATACGTGTCTTAATACAAATGTGCTTGGATGATGATAAAACTGTTGGACAGTTAAAAGTATTTTTGGATCCAATTTATACAAATAACAAAACCCAGTGAAAAAGGTTTACAGTAAAGATTTCAAGAACTTTTTTTTTTTTCGTGACAGCTCAATCATTTAAACTCTCCTTTATTGTTTCCACTAAAACCTTGGAGACAACAGTCATCCTAACACTGTTTCCAACTGTGACCCAGGTCGTCACATGTTACTAGTTTTGTTGAATTGATCTGCCCTTTTGAGCAGTGTCAGCCTGGAGACCCTGAGGGCCTGGTGGACCTCCTCCTCCCCATGACGTTTGAGCCTGGACACAGTGCAGGTGTGCAGAATTAGAACCATTATTATTCAGCCTTTGCAATGGCGATGTCAAATCAGGTCTGGAATGAGTAAACATCTATCACTGGTGAACACAGCTCAGCTGTCGACAAGCTGCTGCTGCTACGTCTTCCACACTGACTCAACTTGGGCATTTTTCCCCCCAAAACCAACACATGTTGAAGACCAACAAGTACGAGAGAGAAAAAAAAAAAGAAAAAAAAAAAGGGAGACGGCAGTTAATAAAAAAACATGTCACTGGTCACTGGTCCAGTCCAGACAGCCTGCCGAGTTCCATGTCTCAGTTACAGCTGTGTCATTAATATGGTGCGCTTGATACTTTGGAGTCGAAAGCAGTGGCATTCACAGAAGAGACCACAGACATTCTGCCAGTGTAACAAACAGGGTTCTAAAAAGCAAGAATATTTTGAAAAGGTCAGACAGAATCTGGTTCTTCCATTCGGAGGAAGTCTGCTCTGAGGAACTGTGGCTTCGGTTCTGTTTAATATTCTGCACATGATGAGAAAACAGCACACGAGATAAGTCGTCAGGGTCCCAGCTCCAAACACAACAACACTGCCATCTGGATCATCTGCGAAAACAGAACAAACGAGCCACGTGGTGACAGTGGATGAGTGGTTACTGGTTTTGCCTTACAGTACAAAGATCACAGGTCTGATCCCCAGTCATGAGGTCTTCCTGTATAGATGTAAGATTCTATTTCAAAGCCTGCAAGTAGTGTTTCCCAAACTGTTTCTGAAACACGGCACTTGGTCCTATGGTGTAGTTATTAGTTATAAGCCTGCAAGTAGTGTTTCCCAAACTGATTCTGAAACACGGCACTTGGTCCTATAGTGTAGTTATGACAGCTGCATTAACCATGGAAGATCCTCGGTTCAAGTCCCATACTTCATGGCGTCTCCTGTGGCAGCCTTTCTGGGTTGCAAAGACTTACGCTATGAATTTCCCAATTGTGGGAAGAAGAAGGAACTAATAATTTATTTTATATTTTACATTTGAAAAATTTCACACTGTACCACCAAACAAAAGTTTCTAGTTT